ATGATATGAGGATTTAAAGACAGAACTGCAAAGACTCTGGCACAAGTCAATCAAGGTGGTTCCAGTGGTGATCGGGACACTGAGTGCAGTGACTAAAGAAATTGGCCTGCATCTAAAAACAATTGGTGCTGACAAAATTACCATCTGTCAGCTGCAAAAGGCCACCCTACTCAGATCTGCATGCATTATTTGCTGATACATCACAGTCCTAGGTTCTTATGGGAAGTGTACAACAAATACAAGAGCCAGCATAATGATCTCATTTGCTGTGTACTAATCTTGTTGTATATCAAATAACAATAACAATAACAATAATAATAATAGCCATGGAACTCTGGGAGTTGTAATTTGGAACTGAACCCTGATCTCCAAAGTCTACATGTATAGAATCATAGAATCAAAGAGTTGGAAGAGACCCCATGGGCCATCCAGTCCAACCCCATTTTGCCAAGAAGCAGGAATATTGCATTCAAAGCACCCCTGACAGATGGCCATCCAGCCTCTGTTTAAAAGCTTCCAAAGAAGGAGCCTCCACCACACTCCGGGGCAGAGAGTTCCACTGCTGAACAGCTCTCACAGTCAGGAAGTTCTTCCTCATTTTCAGATGGAATCTCCTCTCTTGTAGTTTGAAGCCATTGTTCCGCGTCCTAGTCTCCAAGGAAGCAGAAAACAAGCTTGCTCCCTCCTCCCTGTGGCTTCCTCTCACATATTTATACATGCTAATTAGGCCTGTTTGATCAAGAAAAAATTTGTTTCTAAAATCGATTTGTAATTGGGGTGTTTTTTTGTTTCGATATTTAAAATATTTACAAAACTTTCCAAAAAATGTTTTGTTATTTACGAAATTTCGTAAATATTTACAAAACATTTTGTAAGTGTGAATGTTGCAGTTGGTCACCTTGATTAGCATTGAATGGCTTTCATTTCTCCCACCCTGGACATTCCATAGATTAAACTCCATTTGCCTAGTTTCCAACAGACCTCTGAGGATGCCTGCCATAGATGTGGGCAAAATGTCAGGAGAGAATGCTTCTGGAACATGGTCAACATACAGCCCTGAAAAGAAAACTCACAAGAGCCTGGATGCAGCCTTCAAGATGGTATTGGTCTCCCTGCGCTCCGGCTCCGGCTCCTGCGCCCTCCTCCTCCTCCTCCTCCTCCTCCCAGCTGTGTTGCAGGAAGCGCTCACCCTTACAACCGGCCTCCGCGCGCCATCCAATCGGCTCCGGCTCCTGCGCCCTCCTCCTCCTCCTCCTGGCATGGCTATCATATCTCCTCTCAGCCTTTTCTTCTTCAGGCTAAACATGCCTAGCTCCTTAAGCCACTCCTCATATGGCTTGTTCTCCAGACACTTGATCATTTTAGTCACCCTCCTCTGGACACATTCCAGCTTGTCAATAGAATGAATGCAGTTTGACCCCACTGCTCAATGCTCAATGCTTTGTAATTCTGGGAGTTGTAGTTTCATTAGCAACTAGCTCACTAGCTGCTTTGACTCTCTCTTGTAGAGAGGGAAAGACGGGTATAAATAAACATAATAAAAACAACAACAACTTTGACAGAGTAGGATAAAGACTTCGTAAAACTACAACTCCCATGATTCCATAGCATTGAGCTACGGTAGTTAAAGTGGTGTGTATGCATCCTTAGTTGAACAGCTCACTCTTCAGTATTCTGGTAATATCATTTTCAAAAATCCTTCTTTCCAACTTTTCTTCTTGCAGTGATTCTCCTCAATTTCTGGGTATTCTAGGTTTAGCCTATTATTTTTCCTTGGGGGAAGAAAGGAGTCCATGTACATTGCTCCAAGACAGCAACAATAGCTTTTAATACTGAGTCATGTCTACATACCTTCATTGCAGTAACTGGAGCTCTAAAGAAACCCAACAGAGCAAATTCCAAGAGTGTCACCTGGTGCTTGATCTATCTACATGCAAACAGCAAAGAGATAGAGAAAAGGACATTACTTTAACTGCTATGGCTCAATGCTATGGGATTTACATATGAGTAATAAGAAAATAAATGAGCCATACATTTTTTAAAAGTCATGAGAAATCAGCAGTGTGTTTTTTAAAAAAACATGATGGACCATTCTTTTAGAAAGTCCTATACATTCCTTCCATTTTTCAGATCTTCAGTCCCTTATCCGCTTGTATCATCCATATAAGTTAGTGGTTCCCAACCTTGTTTTGACCAGGGACTCTTGACCAGGGACCACTTTGACCAGGGACCACTCTCCAATATTAGTCCCAAAAGGGTTACGAATCGGTTTTTGGTCAACTTTAGGTTTAGTTTGGTTATTTGGGGTGCTGATTCAGAAAACTGCATTGGATAGACCACATCAGCTCTAATTTCTGATACAGAACATATGCCATCCAGTAGTCGCCATCTGCTTGCCCACATAATCTAGAGATGATGTGATCATAGTAGTCTTTCATGGGGAGTCAGCCTCTCCCCTCCAGACATCGTTGTTGTAAGAGGGTTTTGTGAGACCAGTCACTCTCATTGCCACATGGTTTTGAGGTAAGTAGTAGTAATGGTGAGGCCACGGACCATATTTTTTATTCTTGTGGACCACTGGTAGTCCATGGACCACAGATTGGGAACCACTTGTATAAGTAAAGCAGTGAATCTACTCCAGATTTTAGGCTAAAATTTAAATGATTTATCCAAGCTGTTGACCTATATCTCCTAAATCAGTGGTTCTCAACTTGTGGGTCCCCAGGTGTTTTGGCCTACAACTCCCAGAAATCCCATCCAGTTTACCAGCTGTTAGGATTTCTGGGAGTTGAAGGCCAAAACATCTGGGGACCCACAGAACCACTGCCCACCACTGCCCTAAATAGAATCTGAACTTTGGACAGCTCCTTTAGACTAAAGTTGAAAGTGCATTTGTTATCCTTTCATATGTGTGTGTGTGTGTGTGAACTGTAGATCTAATGTACTTTTACACTACTTTAACTGCCGTGGGATCCTGGGATTTGTAGTTTGGTGGCGTTGCAGCACTATTTGGCAGTGAAAGCTAAAGGCCTTATAAAATTATAACTCCCATGATTCCACGGTGGCTAAAGTAGTGTCAAATGACATCAGTTCAGATAAAAATACACTCCTAATAGCCATTGCTCATCACTGGATGCAATCCAGAAAAAAAATAACATTGCTAAGTAACTCTGCAACCATCTCCTCTCTGTATTCTTTTGTACAATAAAGTATATTGGGCAAATATTCCAAAACAATGGAAAAAACCTGAAATCCAACACATTTCTGGTTCCTAGGAATACTCTAACTTTAAGATAAAGGAAAAGGTTTCCCCTTGACCTTAAGTCTAGTTGTGTACAACTCTGAGGGATGGTGCTCATCTCTGTTTCTAAGCTGAAGAGCCAGAGTTGTCCATAGACACCTCCTAGGTCATGTAGCCAGAATGACTGCATGTAGTACTGTTACCTTTCCATCAGAGTGGTACCTATTGATCTACCCACATTTGCATGTTTCAAACTGCTAGGTTGGCAGAAGCTGGGGCTAATGACAGGAGCTCACCCCGCTCCATGGTTTCGACCCACTGACCTTTCAGTCAGCAAGTTCCGGAGCTCAGCGGTTTAACCCGATGTTCCACCACGGCCCCTACTCCAAGTTTTACTTACCCCCAATTCCAATATTTTGCTTCTTGGATTGAATGGACTGCAACTCGTAGCATTCGTAACTCCTGACAGTGCCTAAGAGGCTGCAGTTCAGCAATGACTGGAGCCTTGACTTTGCCCAAAATGTACTTGATGTGTAGTTAAAGGTGTCCATATGCTTATTATCTGATTCTTCAAGATGCTTGAAAATTCCTCAATGCATTTGGATTATTTGATCTTAATATGCCCAGTTTTCTATAGGGTCATCTTGAGGCTTTCCATAATTGAGCAGTTCTGGTTTCCAATATGTTTATGTTGGAATTCGTTTTATTGCATAGCATTTCATTTAAAAATGGAATATATTTGTTTAATTTTGCTTAAGGTTCATATTTATATCTCCAAGAGCAGTGGTTCTCAACCTGGGGGTTGCGACCCTCAGGGGGGTCATTGGGCCATTTTCGAGGGGTCGCGAAGCTGCCTTGGTTGGCCCCGCCCCCTCCAAAATGGCTGCCGACCCCCTGTGCCAGCCAAAAAACTAGCACTACAGGTCAGCTCCTCCTCTTCCCACAGGGCTGTGGGGAGGCAAGAGGAGCAGCATGGAGGAAAAGGCACAGGAAGAAGGCTCATCATTTGTTGAGACCTTTTGTTCTGGCCTGCAGGGCATCAAAGGCACCCCAGACAGTCAGGCCATGTCGGGAGACTTCTAACTTCTTCCTGCCATCCTCATGGCCTGGCCACCTGGGGAGCCATTGCCGCTTGGCCCTCGCCCCCCTCCAACCTCAGAAGGGCATGGGGGCCAGGCGGAGGGCTTTCCCTGCACAGCCTTGCAGCTTGGGAAGCCTTTTCTGCCCACCCCCGCACCCTTCCGACCTCATAACAAAATTACCCTTATGAAGTAACAACGAAAATGTGGTTGGGGGTCACCACCACATGAGGAACTTTATTTAGAGGTCACAGCATTAGAAAGGTTGAGAACCACTGCCCAAGAGGGAAAATAAACTGAAAAAGTTACGAATTTTATTCTTTAACCAGCAGAGGGAGCGAATGCACTGTATTAAAGGAACAGTTTGAAATGGTTTCCATCCACCTGTGTAATGTAAACTTGGAAAACTCTTTTCAAATCTTCAGTTGAACCCATAATGGCCAGAAAGACTTTGGCCATTTTGGGTGTGCAGGAGATCCTAGAGAGAACATTTTAAATCAAATCTGTGAATAATTAAACTGGCAAATGTGGAAAGCCAACTGCACTGAATGGTGAATGGACACATATGGGAAACCCTTATCATTAGTGAGACAACTCATTTGGAGAAATGTCTTGTAATGCTTCAGATGAGTTTTTAATATAATGCTATTCTGTAACGTGATTGTTTTGTTTCTCCTCAGTGAACAAATATGTCGTCAGAGTGTTCACCGGTGACATGAACGGCAGCGGAACCGATGCCGATGTTTTCATCAACATCTTTGGCCAGAATGGAGACACAGGTAATACTTTCAGCAAATCACAGAGCTGAACAAGGCATTCTCTACCAACTTGAGATGAGCATAATTTTGGAAAAGATGTGTTGCTTCTGGGATTATTTTTTATTCTCTAACTAGCTTAGGTACCCAACAATGCTCAGGTTAGGGATTCTGTAACACTATTTATTAGAAATAGTCTTTGCTTGGTTTTGGATTTTATGGATGGTCCCATTGGAAAATGCATAAAGATGTGAATAAACTACAGCTCCCAACAACATTGACCCCAAGCTGTACCAGTAGTTATAGTTCGTCATGATGGATATGTGTGCCAAGTTTGCTCCAGCTGCATTGTCAGTTGAGTTCACAGTGTTCTATGGATGTGGGTGGACCGCAACTCCCATCATCTCCTGTCATTGCTCCCCCAAGCCCACCTGTATATAAAGTTGGTCATAATAGGTATGTATGCCATGTTTGGCCAAGATCCATCATTGGTTGGGTTCACAGTGCTCTCTGGACGTGGTTGAATTACAACTCCCATAATCCAAGGTCAATTCTTCACTCAACCCCACCAGTATGTAAAATTGGTCATTTGTGGTCTGTGCACCAAGATTCGTCCAGATCCATCATTGGTGGGGTTCACAGTGCTCTCTAGATGTGGGTGGACTGCAACTCCCTCATCATTGCTCCCYCAAGCCCACCTGTATATAAAATTGGTCATAATAGGTATGTATGCCATGTTTGGTCAAGATCAATCATTGGTTGGGTTCACAGTGCTCTCTGGATGTGGTTGAACTACAACTCCCATCATCCAAGGTCAATTCTTCACTCAACCCCACCAGTATGTAAAATTGGTCATTTGGTGTCTGTGCACCAAGATTTGTCCAGATCCATCATTGGTGGGGTTCACAGTGCTCTCTAGATGTGAGTGGACTGCAACTCCCATCATCCCTCATCATTGCTCCTCCAAGCCCACCTGTATATAAAATTGGTCATAATAGGTATGTATGCCATGTTTGGTCAAGATCCATCATTGGTTGGGTTCACAGTGCTCTATGGATGTGTTTGAACTACAACTCCCATGATCCAAGGTGAATTCTTCACTCAGTATGTAAAATTGGTCATGTTGGGTCTATGTGCCAACTTTCATCCAGATCCATTGTCGATAGGATTCACAGTGCTCTCTGGATGTGGGTGGACTGCAACTCCCATCATCCTCAGTTATTTCTAACCCAAGACCACCTATATATAAAGTTGGTCATGATGGGTATGTATGCAATGTTTGGTGGAGACCATAGAATTGTGCTGGAGAACCTAAAGATTCATAGGGAGATGTTCTCACATGTTTAATGTACAGTTTCCCCACTTTCTCAATGCCGTGTTCACTTAAACCCAGTGAATGTGAAGGGATGATGAGTTTCCAAAGCTATTCTCTTTCTCCGTTGTTCTGAGATGCCTATGAAGCAGAATTAGGGAAACTGTCATTCTAAGCAAGTGAAGTGATCAAACTTATCCTTTACAAGGAACGCAGCTGCTCTTTTGGATTTCTTTCAAGAAACTGCCTTTTCTAAGCCCACTGCGGAGACGTATTAAACACCTATTTGAGGAAAACGACTCAATCTCGCAGCTGATTAAATAATTTTACCTGATTAATTATGTACAATTTAAACATTAATTGATTAATAAACCATTCACTCAAATTTGCAAGTATTTGCATATTACTTGTATCTCAAGGTCAGTTTCTTCTCTGTGATATCGAGAAGGAAAGGCCTTCAATGCAAGACATCTTCTCCTTGTATTAGAGATAGAACAGCCACCTTTAATCGTTCCCTTATTGCAGCAAATGGACTGAGAAGAAAATAGGCCTCTGTTTCCAGAATGGTGCAATTACTGTGCAGCTCTGTCCATTTGCATTTTGCCTTTACAGCAGAAATGAGCTATCCCCCATCTAAGATTTTAGCTGATTAATTTACTGATTAATGGTGTAACCCTTCTACCCCGTTCATTGAAAGGAGGATCATATTATATGTTTTGCTAGTGGAGGAGAGTGCTGGGCAAAAGGGGTTTTCTAATGCATACATGGGACTCATTCACACTACAGAATTATTATGCTATCATTCAACTTAAACTCCCATTGTTCTGTCCTATGGAATCCCAGAATAGATTTCACAACAACAACAACAACAACAACAACAACGATACAAGTATGGATTGTCGATGTTGCAATCCCTGGTGACAACAGGATTGATGAGAAGCAACTCAAAAAGCTTACATGATATAGGGATTTAAAGATAGAACTGCAAAGACTCTAGCACAAGCCAGTCAAGGTGGTCCCAGTGGTGATTGGCACACTGGGTCAGGCCCGTAGCCAGGATTTCATTTCGGGGGGGGGGGGGGGAATTTTTTTCAGGGGGGGGTTCGGGGGGGGGGGGAGTTTCGGGGGGGCTGAGTCTGAGTGAAAGAGGGTCTAGCCTAGCAAACCTTTTGTATCATTACCCCAATACCCCATGCATATGGGATATATTGAGTATGGTGATCAGATCATGATATGAATAAACATAACAGTTTAAATAATGCACCAGTAAGGCCTTTTCACGAACCACCATGAGAATTTTGGGGGGGGGGGCCTGAAGCCCCTCAAGTCCCCCCCCCCCCCCGCTACAACAAGCATAATAGGGTGCAGTGCCTCAAGACCTTGGCCTGCACTTAAAAACAATTGGCGCTGACATCTGTCAGCTGCAAAAGGCTCAGATCTGCATGCATTATTCACCAATACATCACACAGTCCTAGGCACTTGGGAAGAGTCCAATGTGTGATCCAGTGCAAAAGCCAGCATAGTGATCTTGTTTGCTGTGTACTAATCTTGTTATGTATCTAATAACAACAACAACATTTTTTCTTATCCCCCCCCCCCATCTCCCTGAGAGGACTCAACAACAACAACTTCTTTGATGTCTTAGTTTTTAGGCCTGTTCCTAGGGTTATTTGGGGCATTGATTCAGAAAATTGCATTGTATAGACTGCACCAGCTCTAGTTTCTTACATGTGGCTATCATGATTTTCTATGGGAAAGCAGCTGGTAGGTGGCATTTTAAAAACTAGAGCTGATAGGGGAAAACTGGTGCCATTTTTAGAATCAGCAGGTCAAGTATGCCCAGAAACAGGACTAACATTTGAGGCACCAAAATGTGTGCTGGGCAGTGTTTTAAGGAGGAGTATCTTACATTAGAAAAATGGTACTGGAAGAGAAGGTACAATTGATTGCTAAAAAGTCGAATCAAGTCTGAATTTCCCCCTAGAATTTAACATGTCTAAGGTATCATCTATACTGCCATATAATGCATTTTGAAACCTCATTATATGGTCAGTATAGACTCATCCAATTCAGTTTAACTCCATCAAACTGCATTATATGAACCATATAAAATGCAGGTGCAAATTGAATTATATGGCAGTATAGATGGGGCTTATGATGAATCTGTCGTACTTTGGCTGTATCATGAGAAGACACAACTCACTAGGAAAGACAATAATGTTTGCTAAGACAGAATAAATCCCTATATCATGTAAGTAGGAAAAGAGGAAGACAATTGCTGATGAGCAACACTAAAAAAACAGGAATTCCAAGAATCAATCAGGGCTAGCTAACACCTCCCAACAAGAGATCCCCCAGGCAGCAATCAGCCAGGTTTTGAAGCTGCAAGGACATTAAATGCTAATCAAGGTGGCCAATTGCAACATTCACATTTGCTTCAAGTGGACAAGAGTTCTTTCTCCCATCCTGGACATTCCACAGATATACGTATAAACCCCACTTGCCTAGTTTCCAACAGATCTCACAACCCCTGAGGATGCCTGCCATAGATGAGGGTGAAACATCAGGAGAGAATGTTTCTGGAACATGGCTATACAGCCTGGAAAACTCACAACAACCCAATTGCTGATGAATTGACTCAACCACTGAAGCCGTGGCATAGAATTTGCAGGGCTGCTAGTAGCAGTGATTTGTGGGCTCTCAGACCTCAAGTTACCAAAAGCTGAAGTCAATCTGATGAGTTAACCAAAATATTATTATTCATGGGCAAGGTACTTCTGTGTTTCACTAAACTCCAAATCTCTGGATTCCATTTAGTGACACCATGCTTGTTGAAGTGGAGAAATAACACTATAATTGTGTAGTGCAAATAGGTCCCGTGAATCTCTATGGCAGTGGTTCTCAACCTGTGGGTCCCCCGATGTTTTGGCCTTCATCTCCCAGGGATTTTTGGGGGTTGTAGGCCAAAACATCTGGAGACCCACTGGTTGAGAACTACTGCTATGGTGTCAAAGACGACAGATAAATATAATGTTAATAAACAACCCCCCTCCCTCACCATGGTTTGATTTCTATGTGAGCTGAGACAAACTTTATGTCTACCTGACCCAAAGCCACTTCATTCCACAGAGAAGGGCCCAGTCAAACCCACTTTTTGCCAATGTCAGTCTGGAAATGGCACAGGAACATTCTTTCCAGGAAACCCATTCTGCTGGAGGAGAATTAAAGACCTGTCCCCAAAAATTCTGGGAATGAAGTGGTAGATCCCCTGAGCTTGCCTTGGTTTGTTGTTGTTGTTCATTCGTTCAGTCGTCTCCGACTCTTCGTGACCTCATGGACCAGCCCACGCCAGAGCTCCCTGTCGGCCGTTACCACCCCCAGCTCCTTCAAGGTCAGTCCAGTCACTTCAAGGATGCCATCCGTCCATCTTGCCCTTGGTCGGCCCCTCTTCCTTTTGCCTTCCACTTTCCCCAGCATAATTGTCTTCTCTAGGCTTTCCTGTCTCCTCATGATGTGGCCAAAGTACTTCAACTTTGTCTCTAGTATCTTTCCCTCCAGTGAGCAGTCGGGCTTTATTTCCTGGAGGATGGTCTGGTTGGATCTTCTCGCAGTCCAAGGCACTCTCAGAACTTTCCTCCAACACCACATCTCAAAAGCATCTATCTTCCTTCGCTCAGCCTTCCCTAAGGTCCAGCTCTCACATCCGTAGGT